AGAAGAAATTCAGGGTGGACTCGAGATTTCAGCAAACGAATGGAATTCAGGCTTCAAACACAAATATGATGGAAAGGAGGGACATGAAGGATCTAAAAGTTAATAAATGAACGAACGATCCACAGGCTGTAATCACTCGGCTTTTACCTGTTCGTAGATTTCTATTGCTTTCGGGTACTGCTCCAGCTGAGCGCTGTAGTGTCCCACCTTCAGGAGGCATTTGTTGGCCGAGCTGAAACCAAAACAGAAAAACTCACTGATTCATACTCTCTGAGTCATACTCATGTGTTTTTAGTCGCCCGACCTTTCGGACTGAGAATCAATCAAAACCGCTTTCATAGCTCCACTGTGAGGTGAGCGAATCAATTATTTGTTAAAGTGAGAAACTCAGCAAATCCCCTTTAAAGCCTGATCCAAGAAAAATAGGAAGAATATTGGATTTTTTTTAGTCTGAAGACTTTCTTTGGCCCCTCAACAACATATTAAGAAAAAAAACAGAAATTATTTTGATCAAATTAGCGTGCAATAGGTCAAAAATATATTTTGGTGTAGTCTTCTACTGGCTGTTATCAGGTATATCTGAATGTGTACAACAGGGGTTTGAGCAAAGCTTTTACCACTGAATGATGCAAAAAGTCTCAGATCCAAAAGACTTCAGAAACCGTATCAAATATGATACATTTGGCATTATAGGGTTAAACAGGAAGGGGCTGATTGTTACGAGTTAATGAAACTGCAGCTCTTTAAACTTATCTTTATGTTTTTTGTGTTTTAAAAAAAAAAGAGGTTTGACATTTAGAGTAAATTCAGCAGGTTTACCTGTTTGATTCTTCTCCTTTGTAGTAATCTGCTGCCTGCTCGTAGTGAGCGATGGCCTGGAAATGAACACAAACACACACTTTAGTCAAGTCAAGTCAAGTCAAATCTTATTTATAGAGCACTTTTAAAATAACCGAAGTTGCCAAAGTGCTTAACAGGTAAAAATAAACCTAAAAAGCGAACATAATTTACATACATATATGTGATTTTAATGTAAAATAAAGAGGTAAAAAGGTGCATTTTTAAGGTTAGTGGGTGTAGTGAACGCAGATACATAAGCATTTTTTCTGTGTGAATTTATTTTTATTTTGTGAATATGAATATGTTTTACTTAGAATATCCATTTCATATTTTGTGTATTTTTTTAATTAATATGTACATACTTTGGGGAAATACTGTAATAACGTTAGATGGAGACGTCACCGATTAGGTCATCACTTGATCACGTGATGCCTTTGATAGGAAATTCTGAGTTTTGTTTATACTCAGTCGGCGTGTGCAAGAGTAAAGGCAAAGGACTGAAATATAGAAGAAATCGACTTCTAACAACTCCTAACCTTCTGGTTAGAGGGGCATACGTTATGGACAATTGAGAGAATTGATATTTTGTCTAATAAGTTTCAGTTGATAATTCATATAAGGGAACATGACGGTTTCACTGATGAATATTTTCCACCGTGTATTTTGCAGTGTTCACGGTGGTCTTGGGCGTTTTTATGACGGAAAATCCTTTAATAAAACGTTTGGAACCATCAGTTGGATACTTGCACTTGCATCAACCAGTTAGAAAAAGTTGGGAGCAGCTATA